ACTAACAAAGTTTATTCACCACTCTAACCTACCAAACCCACTATCAAGATTTGTCAATCTAATCCCTGGATTGGGGCCTACGTTTGAACTTCTTTTGTGCTTAAACAGTTATTTCAGCAATAAATTATTTATTACTTGCTTTATTTACCTTTCTAGTTGTGTGTTTACTTACTAAAGAAATATGCCATGGCTTAACTTTTTTTTTTTTTTCAATCATCTACATCATAAGTATCTTGGTTACTGATTACTTGGAAATGAGAGAGAAAATCCTCAATTTGCTATCACAAACTCAGTGAAAAATGTGTTTCTTGTTTAGGATACACAGGAGGTCCCATTCTTGCACTCAGGGATATTGTAAAATGCCTCTTCATCCTTATAACTACATCTCTGTAGTATTACTTTTGTTCTTGTTTTCTAATTTAATTATTCAGTTCACTGATTCATATGATCTAGTCATGTCTTTTAGAAAGATTGTGGTGTATTCTTTGCTTTACCCTTTACAGAGGGCCAAATGGATACAGATGTGTCATTTAATCTCATCCATTCCTTCTTTTGTCTGTGCTGTCAAAAACATTTGGTAGCAGAAACTTCCTTCTACAATGAACTCCCTAGGAGACAATGAGCTGCCAATTAAAAGTGGAGAACAAAAAGAACAGAGTATTATCCAGGAAATTTCCTTTTGAATTCTCAAACAGAAAAATCAACCTCTGCTAATTGTCCATTGAAAAGTCTTTTGAGAATATCTAAGATATCCCAATATGCCAACACCAAATTTATAGTACCTTTTTATTAATTAAATGGGATAATTGTATTTGGGTACTATATGGTAGGGATACTTAATGAAGTTCTGCTGAAAAGCACTGGTTCTGAAATGAGGAAATAATTTTAGCAATAAACTACTAAAAGTAAAGTAAGTATAATTCATAATCTTAGACCTAGTTAACTCTTCATCCATCCTTTTTATGATTAACAAGAACAGTTCTATTTAGGACTACAGTAATGGTGAGAGGGAAGATGTTTGTTATAATTACAGTTCAAATTGGGTCAAAACTGTAGTTTATTTCACTTGAGAGTAATACTTTACCAGTGCCTTTGGATTCACTGGGTCTGACTTCTTAATGTATTAGCAGATGATCTTTACCTTAAAAGCTTTTCCTTTGCAAACAGTTAAATATGTATACATGTGTATTTCATATAGCTCCTAACTTTTTGGCCCAGGTAATTTAACCTGGTAACATTTATGCCATATTTCTATAAGTAGTCCATTGTCGTTTCATATATTTGTTTATTAAGAAGACAATGAGCCCTTAAAATTTAATTTTTTTAGTAATTTTATTATTATAAAAAATTTTCTTGCTGAATAAATTTGACAATACTAAAACCTGAATTTCCAAATTTTAAATTTGTTTTCCTGTTATGGTAGAAGCCCTTTTTTTTTTTCCTTTAATGATCTAGACCAGTAGTTCTTAGAAAACCAAAAAGTCAGTAAACTCAGGAAATCATTTTGAAAGTTTGCCTACCTATCTTATTCAGATATACAACATATATATGAAAAAAACATTTGCCAATCTTTTTGTATTGGGCCCAAGCTTTTTTCTTAGGTTATGAGTCATTGATTGGCATTGGATTCTTGTTCTACATGAGCAACAACCATAATACAATGTCTACAATGAATACAACACTTACAAAAGTAGTCTTAATTCAGAATACATCTGAATTTTGAAGATTTTTTTGTTGTTATTTAAGTTTTTGTAACTGTCTCACATACCTAATTTAAGAGGGTCTTTTTTCCCTTTTAGAAATAGCCTTAGTTGCCAATAACTTCAACAAAAGAGCTCTGTCATTTTCATGTTTTATCCATTTATATAATAACAATTATATAATTACAACAATAAGACTTTACATCATATATATAAACAATGGTTTGCTGGGGAAAAAAACCCATATTCCCTCTTGGTAAGCATACAAGAAATACGTAAGTGGGAACATTAAGAAATTGCTTTCTCTTTCTCTTCATTTCTACAGAGGGAGAAAGGAAGAATCTGTCACAAGGAAATCCATTTATAGAGCTTCTGTATATTGTATTCACTACATTTTAAAACTTACATAAATATATACATACATAGATATATAAAAAGAACAATATAAAATGCAAGAATTACAAAATAAGGCCAACTGAAAAGCTGTGCCTTTTGACATTCTGACAGTATTTAATCAGAAATAAGAGAAAGTTTTAGCTTTTTTCCATTGGTAATTAAAAACGAACAATGAAAGAAAGTATGAGTACAGCTAATTTGGAAAACTGTTCAGTGATACCTGAAGAACATATTTGTAAACTATGGTCCAGCAATTCTGTGCCTAGGTATGTACCTAGCAGGTATGTGTATGTAATGGGGGTGGTATATGTATATCTATACTCAATAAAATTGGACCATGTACAAAAGGTTTATAGTGGCATTTTTGGTAATACCAAAAATTGGAAACAACCTAAATATCTGTCAGCAGTACAATGAATAAATATGCTGTGGTATACTTAAATAATGGAATACTTTATAATTGAGTTGTTAAGTCTTATTTCTCTTTTTGATAGATGAGAATGAAGAGATTACAACATGCAACAAAGTTTGCAAATCTCATAAAACCTAATGACCAAAAAAATATGTAACATATGATTGTAAAATACAAACAAAAGTAAGCTATGGTGTTAGTAGAAGTTAGGATAGCAGTGTTAGTAGTCAGCTCTTCTGTGAAAAAGCAAGGAAATGTGATGGGAACACAAGGCAACTTTTGGAATTCTGGAAATACTCTGTGGATTTGGGTTCTGTTCTCATTGAGTGTATTCAGTTTTACTTATATACCTAAGATTTGTATACTTTTATTACGCTTGATATATTTTTTAAAAAGCAATGTGACTTTATCTGATGAAACTAATGTGAACTATATGAACCATGTAGTAAAGACAAAGAAAAATGAGTTGAGTTCCATAAAAGGATTTGAGAAGGGCTTAATTTTATAATTTATCAAAAAAGGAAATAGGCCTTAACAACCTAAATTATACCATCTGTAGCTAATTTGGTTAGGATAACTTATTTCAGCCCAATTTGTTGTATTTTGCATACTTAGTTACTTAAGTTTGCAACCACTGAGAATTATTGAATAAGCATATAAATATGAACCATAAATCATTTTATCCTAGTCCCCCCAAAATTAATCTAGATCACTCTCTTTAAACCTTCCTTGTTCAAGTCAGTTTTTTTAAAAAATTAGGTTCTATTCAGGATAAAATACTATTTTAAATTTTGGCTTATTGGAATATACTTAATTAGTTGACAATTTTATATAATATCTCAACCTAGATTTTCTATTCCTTTTCTCTCCTTCATTTGAAAATGTTGAAAAAAATCATAAAAATGTATGGTATGTATTTCCTCAATTTATATAGTAGCCAACAAAAAAAATCATATATATTAGAATAAGATCAAAAGAATGGATGTTTTAAACCATCTTCTCATGGGATTCACTGAATTTGGAAGAAAAATTTATGGTGTTTCAGTAGTGGCAAAATATATGCAAGCCCAGTGCTATATTATGCAAATGAAAATAGAGAAGAAAGAAATATTCAATTTTCATAATTAATAATCTCATTCACTGTGGGAAGTGAAACTCAATTGTATAAACCGTTGGTAAATGTGATTCCCCTCTTCTATTAAATTGTAATTGTCTCCCCTGTGTAGTAAATGCAGATGAAAAGTGTTGATTTAGCAAAAGAAAAGTGTATGCTTCAAATATTTAATCAAGAAGATAATCATAAAAAATGTTAGTTTATGTGCAACTATGATACTCTATAATTTCTATAAGGAAGAAAAATATTTGCAATAATGTCATTTAACACAGAGTAGCATTGTCTAATAAATATATCTACATTCTTTGAAATAAAATTTAACTCTATGCATAGGATATATTCCTGAAATTTTTTGAAATTGTTTTCATCCTAAAGAGAGATAAACTATAAAAACCAGAAGAAAATGAACCCACGAACCCAGGGTCTTAAGCATGCTAAGCACAGAATCCACTGGTCTATGCCCAGTCCCTGAAGTGTTCAGTTCTCAAAGACCATAATTCTGTGGGCACTTTGCCAGCCACCTACTAATTTCTATCTTTGCATGCTAATCTCTTCCAGTACCATATAATAGTAGCTGAGTAAGAAGACTTAAGTTGACATAGAAAGTCTGGGTGGGGAATAGCAGTTCTCAGAACAAAGTACTATACCTGAGATTATGGAGTCTTAATTCCCCTCTGTAGGTGGGAATGCATGGGAGATCCATGTCTGAGTAACCTGGTCCTTGTTACCATGGATTTGTAACTAATGAGGACAAAAAGAGTAGGAGGAACCAAGTGCCCGGTCTTCAGCACACTTTAATCTAGTAGCTATCAAGTCCAGCTACCTTTGGGAGAGAACACTGAAGAAGTGAGCCAGATTGGAAACTGTATAACATAGGAAGTATCCTCTGGGTTGGAAACCCAAGGTACATGGCATAAGCAATTCCATCTGTGGAAAATGATTATGCCTCTAAATGCACATCACCACTTCATATTAGCTTCTTTATATGTTATTTTTAAAATGAAAGTGCTGGGTAGGGGGTGGGGGTTAAGCATTTCTGGTTAATTGAAGTGACTACTAGGTGAAAATGTACCCTGATAATTTACCTAGAAGCTTCAAGATTTTGCCATAAGGTAAAGAGTATAATTGAAAAACAGATTATTCTGTTGCTATCTTATATTAATTAAAAAATGTGTGTCTCTTTGTTTCATGATTTTAGTAAAACTAAATTCTTCATACCACTTTTCATACTTTCTAATAGCAGTGTTAATTGTCTTTTAAAATAATTACAAGTGTTTATCATAATTTGTAATAAGAGCTTTGAATAAATTTATGGAAATTTGATTTTACTAGTAATTTATCAAGAATATTTAACATTATACTCTTATTCTTTTATTAGGATTTGGAACTTGGAAGGAGCACAAACAGCTCATTTTGTTCTTCATTCCCCTGGAATGAGTGTGTGCTGGCATCCTGAAGAAAATTTTAAGGTTATTATTTATAACTTAGCTTTCTTTAATCAGCTGAAAAGACATATAAGATACAATACATATACCCATAGAAGAGAAAAATCAATGGCTTCCCATCTCAGAAACACTAATTGGCATGAGTACATTTGGATTAGTCTAGATATCTGTACTTTAAAAGTTTATCTAAAATTGTTAGTTTTAATTTGACAGCCATCATCCACAAGTGGCATTTATTCAGAGTACACTTTTCCTGACGTTTAGCAGATTTAGCCTAAAAACTTATACCCAGATGATCTGGTAGCATTGTGAAGTTAATAAAGGAAAAAGGACAGGCACAGTGACACCTGCCCATAATCCCAGCATCTCCAAAGGCTGAGGCAGGATTGTGAGTTTGAGCCAGCCTCAGTAATTTAGTAAGGCCCGCAGCAACTCAGAGAGGCCCTGTCTCAAAATAAACAATAAAAAGGGCTGGTTATATAACTCAGAAGTAAAGCAACCCTAGTTCAATCCCCAATACCAGAAATAAAGAAAAAGATAAAAAAAAAAGGCACATCCAAGCTTGTGAGCCATAACATATAAACAGGAAGCATTAGTGACTTCAGGCAGATTTTCCCTGGTTACAGTGATGTTCGATTTCTATTCGGAGTAGAGCTTCCTAAAAATACTAAAGGTACACTAAGAGGTCTGATTATCAATTGGTCTTAACTCTCATTTCACTGGGAAAACAGGAGCCATTCAGTAAGAGTTGTTATTGATGGCTCATGCCTGTAATTTCAGCAGTTCAGGAGGCTGAGGCAGGAGGATAGTGATTTGAAAGCCAGCCTCACTGAGGCCCTAAGCAACTCAGTGAGACCCTGTCTCTAAATAAGATATAAAAAGGGGCTAAGGGTATAGCTCAATGGTTAAGCACCCCTAGGTTCAATCCCCAGCACCAAAAAAAGTTATGTTGTTGGCCAATATTTTTTATTTAACATCACTACATTTATTATATCTGAGTAGAATCTAAGAAGTTTCAGCTTTCTTAAAAGTAACCTTTCAGCTGTTCTCTGAGGTTCATTCCTGTCCCTTAGGCATCCTATTTTCACAGCCCTCTAATGTCTTTATACACTTTATTCATTCTGTAATGTCCTTAAGTTTGCACAAAATGATAAATTTGACTGACCATGGCAAACAAATAATGCTCAAGTGCACTGGGCCCTCAGCTAGCATTTCATTTACTTTTCATGGTACTCTTATAGTCTCAGATGATCTCCATTTCACAGATAAGGAAACCAAGGTTCAGAGAAGTTAAATAAACTTGCCCAGAGTCATATCACTGGTAAGTGAAAGAATTGGCATTTGAACCTAAGCAACTCAACTCAATAGTTTTTGCTGTTGATGATTGCAGTCTTCCATATTTCCTTTAAATTTTAAACTTTTACACCTTTTATTTCTAAACATTTGAATCTATTGCCCATAACTTTTAACTTGGGTTCTGTTTTCCCGTCTCTTGGTCCAACCACTGTCTAATTCAGTGCCACTTCTTTTAGAAATTACCGCTGATATTTTCAACACATAAAATGTCCTTTTCCTTAATTCTTAATCCCAAGGCAGCTTTTTCCACCATGGAGCACCTCTGTCTTGAAAGCCCTAGCTGCACTACCCTAGTCCTCTTGAGTAACTTTGCATGTATCTTTTTCTTTTTGTACCGTCATCTTTTTTTTTCCCTATGTATTTGTGAGTTGTCCCAAGGATTAGTTTCTACTGATACTATACCCTCTTGTAATAGGGCGTAATAAAAGGAATAAGTTTCCTTCTTTAAGTTATACTCTGACTTTTAAGGAAGAAATACATGTAAATACAGCATCACAGATAATAAGTATTAGAATTTTTAAAAATCTACTTAGTAGACTACTAACATAAAGAACAAATAATCAAATCTTCTCACAGCTTTCACAGAAGAGGTAAGCCCCAGACTGCCGGTGTGTTCTTTGACCCTGGGATTCCTTGGAAATTTGTTTCAGGCCTATTAGGTCTTTTTATGAGAATTATGCTCTGGATGTATGTATGAACAAAATGTTCTAATTTATTCATGTTAGATGCTTAAGTGTTATTTCTGAATCCAGGTTCTAAATTTTGTTTTATGCCTAGATTTCTCCCCTAGAGCCATGAATCTACTTAAAACAAAGATTCTACCTAAATGTTAATACTGCTATGTTTAACTACAATAAACTACTTTTTTAAAAAATGACCTAGATGAGAAGTATGAAAATTTATTACAACATCTATCTCCAAACGTGTAAATTAATGCTGAATTTGTTAATATTTCAGATCACTTTCTTCCATATGCTTTATTTTTCTTCTAAAGATCATTAAAATTCCTTTTATATTTAATATTTCTATGATTTCCTAATGTTTGGAAGTCCCTGCTCCAAATCACATTAACTCACAAACCTAAAGTCATATCTAATTCTTTCCTTCCCTCAACAAGCATTTCCATGCCTTCATGTCCTAACACTACTTGTTCCTTCATTTCACTAACTCTTCTTGTTCCTTTCTTCCTTAAGATGCATCTTCCTTTTCCTGTTCTCTTAGTTAGCTTGCATCAGGCATTGATTGTTTCTGAGGTCTCTGACTCTCCACTCTTTGAAAATCCTTCTTCCTTTTTGGTTAATATTCTTAAAATAACAGATTCACATATCACTCCTAAACTTAGAAGCTTAGAATACAGAAAAGTGTCAAGAGAATTGGTTTAGAGTGTGGACTCTTGTGTTAACTGCCTGAAGTTAAGTTCAAGCCTGCCACTCAGTAGTTGTTTAAACTCTCTCATTTACTGCCTTCATTTCCTCAACTTATAACATAGATACTTTTTTATAGCATCACTAAATGAGTTAACATTTCTAAAATCCTTTTGAAAGTACATAGTAAGCAGTCAGATGTTGAAGGTATTTTTTACAGCTACAACAATCTAGTGCTTTTCAGTGGCCTACCATGTCAGATCAAACACAGAATTTTTGTGCTCTTATGCTTGATCTTGATGGAAAAAACAAAAGAGAAGAGAGTTGGGTCTCTGATTACCTGTCTCATAGAATTCTTACAAAAAAATCACATGGGATATAAACTGCATAAAGGAGCCATATAATCCGGAAATCACAAAATACATATAGTAAAATGGAAATTTTCTTGAGATTAAGGCTCATGTATTTTATCTTTGACTCCTGTTGAAATTAACAGTGTTTACATGTATATTTGTATAAAGTTGATCCTCATTATTCACAGATTTTGAATTTATAAATTAATCTACTTATTAAAATGTATTTGTAACCACAAAATCAGTATTCTTAGCACTTTTGAAATCACAGGCATGTGCAGAGCAGCAAAAACATTGAAACATCTAATGTGCACATTCCCACATAAGGTCAGACAAGGCAGCACTGCCTTCTTGTCTTAGTCCTCGTAAAATAAATACATGTCTTTTCCATGGTCTGCTAGTGGCACATTTTTTACATCTTTGTACTTTTTATTGTTAATTTTACTGTGTAAAATGGCCCCAAAACACAGTACTGAAATGCTATATCGTGTTCCTAAGTACAAGGCAGTGCTATGCCTTATAGAGCTTATAGAGAAAATATATGTGTAGATAAGCTGTTTTCAGGAATAAGTTATAGTGGTTTTGCTTATGAAGTCTATGTTAATGAATCAATATATGTTACATAAGGTGTCTTTAAACAGAAACACAAAGGTATGTGTGCATTGACCAGTTATGAAAAATGATCTTGGGAGCTTCCAAGAAACTAACCCTATATTTACCCTAGGAACACTTGTTCAAAATTTGCTAATTCAGTGTTTGCAGCCACTTTAGAGCACCTAATTCCCACAAATAATGAGAGTCAACTGTATATATAAATAAAGTAGATGTTCAATGGAGGACTGTTAGAAGAGTAATGGAATGTCTGCCAAAACCCCTGAGCTAGAGATGGCCTATCTTGTTAGAAGTAGTAACAACATTTTATGCTATTTTGTGATACAAGTCCAATCACATTTTAGCCATATAGTAATTTTTTGAGTCTGATATAATTGTCCCCATTTTATGGGTGAGAAAGAAGTAAATTTCAGGTCTTTCATCAGATTATGGCAGAGACTAGGAGTTTTCATGCCAATTTCCACATTCTTTCCAGTCTACCACTGTTAGTTCACACCTTCAGTGATGTTTTTATCTTAATATAATCAGAATTTAAACAGCATTCTTAAAAAGAAAGAACTTCACACAGAATTTTATAGAGCACTTTCTTTGGGCATCAACAGCTCATACTTAGATAGACACAGCACTCTCTTAATTTGTGCATTTGATAAGTCACAGATTAAAAACACTGATTATTGAATATCTTAAATCAGTGGCATCTTAGAAAAAAGGGAATATTGAGTGTGAGGCTACTCATTTAATCATTGCAACAACCCATTAGCTATCCTCATCCTCCAATTTCCAGTTTAGAAATGAGAGAGCTGTTGATCATATGTTGGAGTCGATCAGTTTTTAACTGGAGGAAGCAACCCTTGCTACTCAGAACTACCTGAGCTCTTCAACTGTTCCAATGCTGCCTTCCACTCTGGAAACAAATTGCATAAGGATGTATAATACAGGATATATACTTGGCTATCCTTGCCAGACAATAAAGCTAACATAAAAGGTTAACTTTTCTCAGAATGAATGTTTAGGTTGATCTCTTCTGCCTAGCATCATCATTTAAAATTGTTTTTTTTGTTGGGGGAGGGTGGGCTGGGGTTGTGGCTCAGTGGTAGAGTACTTGCCTCACATATGTGAGGCACTGGGTTCAATTCTCAGCACCACATGTAAATAAATGAATAAAATATAGGTCCATCAACACTAAAAAGTATTTTTTTTAAAAAAAAGTTCTTGAATCTTTAACTGAAGTTTTTGTTTCTTTTTTCCCCATATTTTTGCATAGCTTTCTTATTTCCTTTGTGTTTTATCTCTTTTTAAACATAAGCATATGTTTACTTTTAGTAGTATAGCATTGAATCTCTGCTTGTTTCTCAGGGTTAGCTAGTGAGATCAGTGGTTAAGTGTTCTTTTCTTTTTCTCACTTGCAGCTGATGGTTGCAGAGAAGAATGGAACAATCCGATTTTATGATCTGTTGGCCCAACAGGCTATTTTGTCTCTTGAATCAGAACAGATACCATTAATGTCAGCACACTGGTGCTTAAAAAACACCTTCAAAGTTGGAGCTGTTGCAGGAAATGATTGGATAATTTGGGATATCACTCGGTCCAGGTACTTCCTTAGCATGTTTGTCTCTTGCTAACCAAAAAGCCAGTAACAACCACTAAATGATCTGCTGGGCTATGCTTATAATCTGGACCTCCAAGTGGAATGAAAATAAGTGTCTCCTGTAGAAGGGCTGGAGCTCTGGGTTTCACATAACATATTCATGCTTTGCAGGTTTACTTTGGGAGTAACCCAGAAAGGACAACGCAGAGGAGGAAATCTTTGATCTGAGCAATGTTTACTTATGTTAGAAAAGAAGAATAACTCTGATCCTGTTGAAAGATGTGCCCTATGATGAATGATCTTGTCATAGTTTATCTATTTTAACTGGGTGCTTACTTGGAATTTTGTTACAACTTAAGTATATTGGGCTTATAAAGAGAAAACATCATTAAAACCTTAATTTCATTTCATCTACTTGAGTCTAACACACTAAAATCACACAATGCAAAATCCTTTTTTAGTTATCCTCAAGAGACAAGACCTGTGCACATGGATCGAGCCTACCTATTCAGGTAATGAACCATTTTTCTTGGAGGTTTTGTCTTTTGGTCTAATCTACGAGTGGGGGTTTTTCCAGATATTTTCTTTGAAAAATTTTATAACTCACAAAAATACATGTTGCCACTCTGTCAGTATCACTCAACATTTGAAATATATATTATGCTTCCTTATTGTTCTGCACTGATAAAGATGTAAATGTACTTACCTATGTTTACTTTATAAAAAGCTCATTGTTGTGTTTTAAATGGGAACATGCCAAATAGTATATTTCCTCATCTTTGACATGATGGCTTTCATTTTTACTTAAATTGACATGCCTTGATCTTTTTCATTCATTTCATTTTTCATACTATTCCATTGTAAAGTGTAATCAGTTAGCTGCTTTCAGTTTTAAACAACAGGCAAACCAAATAACAGATACTACAATCAATAGAACATTTTTAATATGTTATTTTTCATCAAATCTAAAATATCCCCCCAAAATTGTAGGACTTGGGACACCATTATTGAGAATAAAATATATTTAAGTAATGTAAGAATGGCATAAATATAAGCTGCATCCTGACTTCAGAGCTGGTAGCAAACAAATATTTTTAAACCAATGATCTGTGGTACTTAAGAAACTGTGTGGGTGTTGGTTTAGCAGCTCTCCAGTGTTAATAAAGAGATCAGACACTTTTTATTCTTTCCTTTGCCATCCTCAATGTTCAGGCTTGAGGCTAGTTGATTCAAAGCTCTAAGATGGCTACCAGAGTTGCAGGCATCTAGCCTCATGCCAGATTGTCTAATGTCAGAGGAGAACCAGGAGCACTCTCCTTTCATTGGGGATTGCTATGACTGCCTTAAGCTAGTTATGTCTCATCTCCTGGAGTTGGACATACTGTGCCAGAAAAAGTTGGGGTTCAATTAGCCTAAAAAGGGGGCAGAATAACTGTTGGTAGGCAACTAAGAATGTACAAAACTAGCCATGTTTTTAAATCAAACCCAGGTCCCGCCTGTGCTAGCGACCGCTGTACCGCTGAGCCACAATCCCAGCCGCCACCCCACACACACCATTTATTATGCTAGCTAGGCGTGTTGTCAGAATTCCAGCAACACTGATGTGGTGAACCGCAATGTCCAAGATGCCTTGAAGCTTAAATATTTAAATATTCTAGACATTTATATCATCCCAAAGGATTTAAACATATAAATGTATTGCTAATTTTATAAGAAATGTTAATAACATTAAATTTATTTACTAAATGTATTCTACTATGAGATTTTTATATCTGTCTGTTGTCTTATTTGTGCCTTGTATTTCTGACTACACTGTTTGCCCCTTGGGTAGAAGAAAAGGACTATGCTAACCTTGTGTAACCTTGGAGCTTAATGCAGTGACATAATAACAATAAATATGGCACTGGGACTGTAGCTCAGGGCAGAGCACTTACCTAGTAGCATGTGTGAGGCACTGGGCTCAATCAAAAAAATAAAATAAAGGTGTTCTGTCCATGTATAACCTCAACCGAAAAAAGGAAAACAGAAAACAATATTCACGAAATGAAAATATATTAATAGCTAACTATAATTATTTCCAGTCTAAATGTAAAACCACATTACCAGATTTAGAATTAGAAAATTTTTGCTTTTGTGCGAGGTGGGGGAGAACTCATTTCAGAAAACCTCATAGTTATCCGTAGTAAGTTGTGCTTAATTCTTATGCTTTCTCATTTCTTAGATGGTCCACAATTAGTGAAAACTTGTTTGCAACCACTGGTTATCCAGGCAAAATGACAAGCCAGTTGCAGATTCATCATCTAGGACACACTCAGGTAATGTCAAAATCTTTCATGGAATATCTGTTTTTTTAAATTTGTGATTTGATTTTTTCACAAATTTGTAACTTGTAACTAAAGACACTTATGTCTTTTATCTGCTTAAATTGAAAGAGAAAGCATTTTCAATGTTTAAATCACCAGTGACAACGAATTTTCTTTTTTTGCCAGAATCCATGTAAGAGTCATAGTTCTTCTGTTGCTTCTGTATTTTCTCTTTCATCTAAATATATTAATCAAATTTGGCTTGTTTGGTTGATGCCAACTGCAAAAATTCTTGAGTCAGGACAATATCAGTTATTTATAAATGGATTGTAGCCTTCATTCAAACTGGTTACAAATAGATAATTTGCATTTCACCTTTGATGAAGCATATTTTTAGTATTTCTGCTCTTAACGAAGATAATTTATCAGTGCATTTATTATTTTTAGTTTTCATTTATGAGCTTTGGGCATTTATTTTGCTTCTTTAATTCTTCTCATATTTTATAGCCTGTCCTCACTGGTTCTGTAGCCGTTGGATCTGGCCTTTCCTGGCATAGAACTCTACCACTGTGTGCAATTGGAGGAGACCACAAGCTGTTGTTTTGGGTGACTGAAATATAAAATAAATTTTCTTTGTACTTTAGATTCTTAAACTTTGTATTTTTAGTACATATTTTGGAAACTCCTTATTTTTATATCAGATATACTGTAAATTCTAGAAATGTCTCAGTTACTGATTTTGTTAAATAAAATATTGATGATTTGAAAAATTATTTTCTTACTCTCTATATTTTTTAAAATCATCATGTAAGACTATATAATTCACTTAGCAGCTCAGCTCCAGAGAAGAGATGATGGGAAACATAATTTTGATTTTATCAAAGTACTATTCCAAGGGTGTTTTGTCAAACATTTACAAAAGGAGAATAAGATATTTCCATGTACTCCGAAAGTGTGTACATATTTTTGTTAGCAATCTATATGTTTAGGGATGTTAAACTTCCTCATTATTTATTAAAGATTGTTAGTCAATTTAATATTTTTTAAAAAGGTTTTCAATTTCTTCAAACTGTGACTGATTATGTTACCCTGCCCTGTGTGCAGAAGCTTTGGTCTGGACTTGGCGCTCTTAAAATATTTGGTGTAAGGGATAAAATTCACCAGAAAAAATGACTTGTGATTTATACCTTGAACACCCTTCCCTCTTTTATGGATCTTCATCATTCTTACTAAGAAATATGGTGTAATGGTATTCTTTTACCTTAGTAAACTTTGTGTTTTGAAATATGTTTCCATTAGACGAAGACATGAGGAAATGTTCATGGAGAATTAGTTATTGGTCATCACTTCTAATTCTTGATAAGTAACAAACGAGTTCTGATATTGTTTCCAGTTTTAGTTTTCCACGTTTGTTTATGGGTATGTCCAAAAGGGTTTTTCTTCTGTTGAGATTAAGTTTTCTTCGGAATTGCTTCACTTGCAAACATTGTTGAAAGAAAAACAAAAAAGTCATGTTCTAAAACTTGTATTATTTAAGACTGTTGAAGCAAATGTCAGGATATCACAAATCTGCAAGATGTCAAAGCTAAATCCTACTCTTTCAAAATGATGGGATCATAAGTCTCATTTTATTTTTTATGATTTGGCTTATATGTTATGAATATTTTAGTGTCTCTCCCATGCCAGAACACAAAATCACACACCCATGGACTCTAATTCGTTTCTTACTTTGGTAATTTGTGACTACATATTGACATTGACCTAGAAATGTTCCTGTGGCTGTTTTAAATCTCATGTCAGTGGACAAGAAATTGAAATCTGGTTTGCACATTTGTGTCTGGTTTTTTGCAGTTGTTCAAAATCTGACATTATCCCAGAAATGCTGATTGGGGAGTTATGAGATAGTATTATGGCCCAGACTAATTTAATAATTTTGAAGAAAGAGTTGCTCCAGACTCTCTTCATGGTTCTCTATTGCTCAAAACATTAACTCAGTTTAACCCACCTTTATACCATACCAGTAGCCTTTACAAGTTTACAGAAAATTTGCAGAGTGCACAGGACCATTTTGGAGATTCATTTCCACACATTCCTCATAAGAGCTTAGTCAAGTCCTCAGACACAGCACGCTGTTCCAGTATATCTTTATCAAGCTGTCTCTGTGCTCAGTAATAAGGACAGGAGAGAACACTCTGTTCTTTCATCTTAACACCTTGTTGATTCAAAACAGCATGCATTTCTAATCATACATTTAAAGAAATAATACCTTTAAAAATAAGTAGATGTTTTAATTTGCTATTAACATGATTTCCGTTTATAATAACCATTTGTTACCTAGTACAGTAAAAAGAAAATAATTAGGATATCAACTTTGAAGATCCCATTTCACAAAAAGAAAAAATATATCCTGTTTATGATGTATCATACTCAAATTCAACATAAGCAGTTTGCTTTATATGCACACACACAGACTTCATAGGAAAGCAAAAGCATTTAATCTATTTTTTTTACCTTTACAGCTGTTCTTTGAACTACTTTAGTAAAAACAATTGTTACCCTTATGTAGGATCAAGTGACATTGGTCTGGAAATTCTTTGGATCAGTTTATTTCTGTTTAACTTATGTCTTTTTTATAGTTATTTGCCTTCTCAACTAATTTTTAACGGGAACTCCACCTTAGGACTTTCTTATTCATTAAGCTTATAAAATCCATATGAATAATAGTAAAAGAGGAGTTTTCTCAGCTTTTGAAAACAATTGGAGGAACTCAATAGATTTTAAAGAATTGTGAAATCCTTACTTCTCTACCATTTATAATGCTTTATTGAGTTGAGTGTCTATTTCTTTGTAGTAAAAGACAACAATGCTGCTGGTCTCTGTTCTAATGGTGGTTAAGTACAAAACTTTGATCTTTCTGTAAACACAGCTGTTGTCCTATTATTGAGCCAAATCCAGATGAGATTAGACTCTGGCCAAAATTAAGGTTAATCTTTGTAGCCATCTCAAGTAAGAACTTTCTAATACTGTTTTAGGAAATCTCTATTTTTGAGACAGTGTACAAAGGAAATAAGTGCTAGACTGCTAACCTCTAAAGCAAGCCAGAAGCGACTAATGATAAATTATATTGTAGTGATAAGGAAGATAGAAACTCTAACCAAATGAGTTCATTTTTACTTAGACTGTAATTATAAGAAATTACTTTCTTCGTTCACACGAAATTTAAATCAGACCATTAGAAGTTGTTTTGTAATGAACTGCTCCCATCTTAATGTTTCTTCCACAAATTCCAATGAAAACTAGGTATTTAATAAGCTAGAATAATATTTTATTATAATTATTGTGTAATAGATTATTTTAGTGTCTAGCTAGCCTATCACTATCCCCTCAAAAAAATCTTTTTCTTTTAAGATTTAGACACCAGAATTTTAAATACTTTGCCAAAAGTTCCTTAGGACTGATTCTCCTGGGTGTTGGACACTAGTGCTTCAAGCTGTGTTGTAAAGAACTAATTATGCATTTCTCTCCAACTTGCATGTTTCAGGAGAACATCCATAGGAATGTCCCTCACCTGCAATCCATAGATCTCAAATATTAGACTTATTTAATAACATTTCCCTAGTACTTAATTTTGAGCAAGTAGAGGACCTGGTCATTCATATATATATATATATATATATATATATATATATATATATAGAGAGAGAGAGAGAGAGAGAGAGAGAGAGAGAGAGAGACATCTCAGAGCTCTCACTCCATCCTGAATTCACATCACAAACACATTAAACTATAGAGGGCCTGAAGAGTAATTCTGGAATTCTGTATTTTTGACATATTACTTGTGCCATGATTCCATCCATTTGACACATTAACTGTGTTCACATATTACATATATGATCTTTACAAAAACCCAACCTACTAAGGGCAAATACCTGGGAGAATATGAAATTATTGCACGGGTTTCTCAAAATTATTCATACTACCACTGTCAAAATCCTTTTCCTTAGAAAACATGATTTCCTATAGTCCTAAGATAAGACACCCCAAGATCAAACTTGCTTACATATTTCCAACAGACATTGACTTCAGCCGTCCTGACATCTACCTCTTTCTTTCCTTAACACCTTAACAGGTAGAAGGGGAAATGAGCCTGCCAATGGACCCTTCACTCCCATAGTGGCTTTGAGATTTCAGTCAGAAATCAAGGGAGTTGAGAAGTTCCCAATATATTCAGTTAGGTCTGTCATCTTGTATTATGTGACTCCAGGTTTGGCTATGGAATTCAGGTGAAAGCCAGAATACTTGAACCTTATATATCCTACCTATGATATATAAGGTAAGACTTTCTAAGGCAGGATGTATTAGGGAAATTAATTGAATCTAGCTGGAAAATAAAAGGGAGAGTTATATTTGAATGAAAATAGGGATTTTAAAAACAAATTCCCAATATAGCTCACCAATTTTCATTTAGTACTCTTATTTTAACTCTCCCTCAACAATGTATATGTGTTTACTCAATGAATACTAGATGTCCAGCCATAATTGCCTTGTGTTCTTACATATAAACGGGCTTCTTTGTGGTGGTATACACCCGTAATCCCAATAACTAGAGGGTAAAGCAAGAGGATTGCAAGTTTGAGGTCAACCTCAGCAACCTAGCCAAACTGTCTCAAAACAAAAAATATATACTTTTTTTTAAAGGGGCTTCTTACACTGAGAATGGAACTCTGGTACAGCATATGCAGTGTCCTAGGTTTAATCCCTAGGATTGCAAAATAAATGAAGGATTCTGCAAAATATTATGAACCACTTTCCTAGACTGAGGTTCAAAATTTCTGTTGTCCTTTTTCAAAAGGTAATACCAAGATTCAAACTATTTGGACTCCAGAAACAAGACTTTAGGAAGAAATGTTGATGTTGAACATCTAGAGTACTTTTAATGATTTTACATGGTTGTGATTCAAAACAACCTGACTGCTTTAAGAAGGCCAGGTGCTGAGTCATTTACTAAAACAGCCAGGAGGGGTTAATTAGAAGCAGCTGATAGTGGCATCATTCGCTGCCTTTTTTTAAATAAATAGGGTTATTCTTTGAAGAGGACCGAGTGCTATACGTGTGCAAAGCTAAGAAACACTCATAACTAAAAGCCACTTCATTTCTAATCCCACTAGCGGAAAAGAAAAAAAAATGAAATAGTGAACTCAAGATAATCAAGGCCCTATTTTTAAAAAATGGTAAAATTAGTATTAAGATGAGTGATGTGGATGACATTTCCCTCTCCAATGCATTTAGTTTACTTCTAAGTTTTCCATGATAAATATATCACTTTTTTTTTCCAGTATGGGGGATTGAACTCAGGGCCTCATGCATGCTAGATATGTGCTCATCACTGAGCTGCGTACTCAGCCCAACACCACTTTTATAATAATTGCTTAACTTAAAAATAAGCAGATATTAACTGGCTCTGTCATGGTTGTAAGAGAATATAAACAAAAATGATTTTACATGGTTGTGATTCAAAACAAAAAGATATGGATGTTTTCTTTCATGTGGAAGCTAGAGAGGGGAAAAAAAGGTAGGGGGAATCTCATGAAAATCATAGGGAGATCAGTAGAGTAGAAGAAAAGGACTGGAGAGGGAGGAGGGGAGAGAAAGGGGAAATACTAGGGAATTATATTGTCCAAATTATATCATATAATGTGTTCATGTATAATAGGTAACAATGCTACTGACCTCAAAGAGATTATAAAGAGGTTGGAACACCTCATGGTCCTGA